TTGCTCATGAGTTTCGTCGCCTCCTCCTTGCTCCTGTTCGTTCGCCATGTGCTGCATGGCGGCAGCCATGTCCCTCATCAGCTGAGGGTTCATCTGGACATCGTCGGGGATTATGCTTTCGAATTCTCTTGTGGCACTCCCGTTGGCTTGCCCCTGGGTGGACCAGCCTTCGGCGGGATCATAACTTCCCCGGCCCCTGGTGGCGGAACTGAGCGTTGCTGTATAGGTTTTGACCATGTTTGGAGATGGTAGTGCTTGACTCAATTGGTTTGCTTGGGATTTTTGTTCAGAGTATTCCCACAGACGGCTCTAATGTTGAGGTTTAATCCCGAAGATCCGAAAGTCCAACACAAGCTTTAGATATTTAAGGACGTTAGGTTGGTTTGGAAAGCGTATAAAATATAAAATAGTGAAATATTACCCAACTCACGAGCTAACTTGTATTCAGTAATGCTGTGATTACACTGGACTACCCGAACGGTAGGTAAGTACAAGAATACAGGAATAAGGGAGAGGATTCTATTTGCTAAGCTCTGAGTACTAAAATGCTAACCCTTCACAATGTATTCAATGCAAACATTTATACTAGAGTGGAGATGGGTGAGATGGACACGTGGCTGAATCCGGTAGGCTGTAACCTCTGCCACGTATGCACCCATGCCTCCACTTGCTGCTGCCATGCTTTAGCATTAAATGCGGCTTCCACTTGCTGACTTCCCGTTCGGGTACCCTGTTCGGTGTGCGGGACCCCGCCATGAGTGTTTAGGTGTCAGTGTTCCCTGAATTACTCCAAGTAGACGATCTGTGCCGAATGCCGATCGGGGTGTTCTAGACTGCCTTGGGCCCTATGATTCTCCTCAGGGCCTAGCCATACTTTGGGTCGGGGGTATTGGGCCTGGACCCAATATCCCAACAAAGTCTATTCCCAAAAGATTTTGGGGTCAATTAACATGAACCAATCCACGAACATGTAAGGAAACCATATGACAAAAAAATTGAATGGAGAGAATGAGACCACCTTTATTTTTTGGCGACATAGTCAGGGATGATGGGGGCCAACAACTTTTTCGTAAAGTCTTGCATGTCATGAGACTGGTAATTTCACATATCCACATCAAGGAGTGTTGTCTCAGGGACAATCACATAAGATGCATCAACGTGGTGGCCAGACTCATCTTTGGAGTCTAGTTAATGAGATTTGCAAGAGACACTAAGGAATCTTCAAAATCTAGGTCAATTGGGGTTCCATCCTATGTCGACGAGCCAATCAAGTATCTAATCGGCAGTCAAGAATCTTCGAAGTTGAGAATAATGGCATTGTGCACCCCCGCCTTCAGAAACCACTTCGTTCCCACCAAAAGGATTTGCCATGGATCTAGGGTATGAAATTGTGGAGTAATGAGAAGGCAAAGAGGGGTTGGTAGTGAATGAGAAAAGTGGAGAGGTGTGGCCGTGTAGGTGGGTGGAGCAAATGGGGAAAGCGAAGACGATATACGAAGAGGTGGGTGAAAGGGTGGTCAACAGAGAGTAAAGGTGAGAGGGTATAAGGGTAAGTGGAAAGTAAATGCAGTGGTAATTGTAGTAAATGTGGAAAATAAATGAAGGTAGTAAGATAACTGTATGTGTGTTATTACTAGAAATGGAAAGTGGACTTCTTAAAGGACGATCCGAAAAGGAAGTGAGTAGTTTATTTAGGAACAGAGGGACCATTTATCTAACTATTTTTCTTGGTGTTCCTTAGCCATGAGTTGGGTCATCGATCCTACTTTTTGGAAAGAATGTTGAAAAGGATGGAGGATCATCTCTAGATGAGCGCTTCTAGGACAGCTGCAATGGAGGAAATTAGAAGTTGCTTAAGTTTGATCAAAATCTCTGATCTTTCCCTTTCCACTTTGGCCAAGCGCACGTCAACGAGATAGCCGAGGTGGCGAGACGGCACGCCGACTAGATGGTTGTGGATCATGAAGCGACTAAGCACACAACTAGGAAAGTCAAGGAGGCCGGCATCTATAAGGAGATATCTAAGAAGGTCAAGGAGCAGACCTGGTTGAGGTGAATGGACCCAACCTCAATACCTGCATGATGGGCAAAATGTGAGTTGTTGCTAGAGATTGGGTGAAGACTACATTGAGTCAAATGTTCTTGGTCAAGGAGCAATCTACTTCCTACCAGGTTGGTCCAATCACCATGCAGGACTTGGTTTACAAGCGATTTGCTCGAGTTCAGCTGGGGGCTCAATCTGATTGCTCTCAACCTCCTTAGATAATGGAAGACTCAAAGAAGGCTAAGGGCTAAGTAGGGTTTTCACAAGTAAAATAGATATAACTGTATAGAACTAAGTATGAGCATGGTCTCCAAATGGACAAAAAAAAGGAATTGAATATATGTATTAAAATATTTTCACCAATTCTAAAAAGTAAAATAATAGAATGAATATGTAGAATTGGTTTAAAGTATAAAGTGACACCTAAGGGTTTTCGTGAGAGCTTAATGTTGGGTGTGTCTCGGAAAATAAAGAAAATTAATTAATAAAAATTAATGAAATTAATAAAGAAAATTAATTAATAAAATTAATTAAGTTTGAGGGCTTATTTGGTAGTTCTCCCAATGACTAAAGAAAAACAAAAAAGAGATGGAGCAGAAATTAGCCAAAGCTCGTGTTACACACGATGTCCTTAAAATGTATTCGTTGCCTCCCTAGGTGCTAGGAGTGTTGCAACGATCGTTTCCCAGGATACGATAACTACGAACAATCGTTGAGCACTCAAACGAATTGTCCCAATGAACGTGAACAAAGGCAGAACACGGAAGAATATTTCTGGAATGCTAGAGGTGTTTTTAGCTCTAAAAAGTACGTGAAGGATGTGTTATGCGTTGTGTTTGTTGCAAACCATCTACCAACCTTTTATAGGGATGATTTGTTGTTGTGTGTTAATGATGTTTAATGGACATGAACGTTGGACATCAATGACCAGAACGTTGGGCATTGATTCATCCAAAACAGTCCATTTAATCGCATGAACGTTGGGCATTAATGTGTTGTAATGCCCAGCAACTGGCTGTTGCGGTTTGTTCAACATGGAGCAGCTGCCTGCTCCAACGGGCTGCACCTGGGGTAAAAAAATAGGAAAAAACGGGATTTCCACAAAAATTTAGGAATTCGTGTCTGCAGGTTGCCCGCGCACGCAAGTCGCGGTTTTACTCTATTTCAACTTTTTTTAAGATCCCATTTTTTTTAAATGAAAGGTGGCTTAAATTGATATCACAGCATGAAGATAAGGGCTAAAAAGACAAAGAGACCGCAGACAACCGTCAACCCTCGAACCAGACTCAAAGTTAATCACTTCAAAATAAGCAATGTAACTCATTGATCCATTTATGGGCGCAACTGAACCAAAGACGGTAGATGCAGACCTCCTATCACCCAAATCCAAGTTCAAAGTCTTACAATGCAGAAAAATAACAAACTAAAAAAACAGAGCACTCAATCCCAAAAGAAGCAAAAATAGCGACAAAACAAGTCATGTTGTGACTTCCGAAGCACAAAGCCACGACACCATCCCGAACCTACTCTTTGCACCTGCACCTTCAACGGGCTCAAGCATCTGAGCCCTCCTCCTCCTTGTTTTTTGGCTTATCAACAGTCATAGAGTCCTTGCTTGACCCCTCTTGCTCCTGATCTTTCCGGATTCTTATTTTCTTTTGTTCTTCTGACACTTCCTCAGTACTTCCCAGATCCTTGTCCTTAGTCGTGCTGTCACCCGTGCCGGTCAAAGATTCCTTCTAGCCATGTCTCCCTGATCCGTCTCCCGTCTTGGAATTCTCCTGAAGAGAGTGGCTCAGAGCTTTACTAGTGGGGCCCTCCATAAGTCATTTGTTTCCTCCTGTAGGACTAGTCTTCACCCCACTACCTGCTCTCAGACTAGCCCCAAAAGATTTTCCCGATACCAGATTGTCCTCATATGTTAAAGGACAGAATTTATCAGTGTCCAATGATTCCACAAATGAAACAAAAATTGGGCAATTTTTCATATTTGAAATCAACCCAGTGCCCCACTCATACTTTCTTAAGAGATGTTCCTTTTTTCAAGGGTTTGCGCACATCCATACAAACTCTTATACGCAGATAAGCTTCCCATTTTTCCTCAAACTGATTGTCATCATATTTAACAAAACTGCCAATAAAATTACCAATTCTTCTAGCAGTACCTATGTTCATCAAGGTATAAGGAACATTATGAACTTGAACCCAAAATTCTGACTCTTTAAGATCAATTTTGAGTGGAATATCATCTCGTTTAACCTCTTTTAATATCAACAAGTTCCTTTCAAATAGCCATGAACCACCATCCAAATTAAACACGTTTCATATCAACATTATGATAAATAGTAAAAAGATACCCTTTCTTGCCAATTTCTTTGATGGACACCCCCTTACCCGGTCTCCATAGCGGCATAAGATCCTTAAAAATCTCAAACTTGATTTTCCTATCTGTTAATAGAGCACCAACTACCGGGAACGTCAATCGAACCTCCTTCGCCGCAACCTCACCAACCTCTTCCTTATCCAGGTCCAATTCCTTGGTCTCACCAATAGCCATCTGCTTGTACTGATTAACGATTGATTCCATTCAATTCTCCGCTTCTAGTCACAGACTATCACCCCTCCCCATCGACCTGTCTCGACGATTGCCAATCCAGAAGCTAAACCGCACTGCCTGAAGCCAAGCAATCCCTCCGTCGTCAAGCACCCCTCCGTCGCCACACTCTCCTCCGTCTAGCCGGATACTTCCCTCCGTCGTCAACTCCTCATCGCGAGTGTGAGAAGGCCGCTCCTCAATCATCGATAGCAGAAATAGGCTCTAGCAGTGTGAAGGCAGAACTTAACGACTTGCACACAACAAATCCCATTTTATTTTAAAAACTAATTTTTACTATTAATCATTTTCTAACCAAAAATAGTTACTTTTGAGAAGCACCAATAAATGCAAACACTACCCAAAAAATTGAAATAAGGAAAAATTGCCAAATAAATCCTTATATTTATTCCTCATACTATACAATCACTCGATCAACACCGGAAACAATAAATAAAACGCCCAATAACTCTTTTTAGCCGGTTAATTTCTAGCATGGCCGGCCACATGGCCTTGATTTTCATTTTTAGAAGGCCTGGCACTCGTCTTTGACTTGGTCGGTGAAGAAAGGAGTCCAGCTTCATGATTAGCCTTTGTTCTCCTTTGCACTGACGTTTCAAATTTAAATGTTTTTAACTCCTTCCTTAATTAGGTACTGTAAATGCTTGTAGATGTTTTACTTTCAGTGACAAGATCCTAAGACCTGCTACAAATTTATAACTTCTAAGAAACCCAAAATTTGGTAGAAATTTCCAAAGACCAGATAGAAGGTTTTCTTCATTTTTGGGAGTCCGGGTGAAGACCAAGAAGACATCGGCAGCGGCATCAAGGAGACACCACAGGTGGGTTCATTTTCCTTTAACTGATAGTAGTATATGTACACTGCCACAGGCCCACAATCCTCACCCACCAGCACGCAAGCCAAGAACATTGATTCTGCACTCAAGATGTTTGACGAAATTCCTCACTGAAAGCAGAAGCAGAGAAAGAAGAAAGAGTGATGCTGCGAAAGGTGCCTGCAAAGACATGCCAGCCTGTGTCATATGTGTCACAAAAATGAAAAAAGGTCCACCTGGCCAGCCACATCAACCAGCATGGGATAACCGGTAGATAATGTCTAAAAAGTAGAATTTTAAAAGTTTGGGGAGTTAAAGATTGATTTGATAGTAATTAACCTTTTCGCTATAATACGAGAGCCTCTTTGAAAGTTTCACTTGAAATAATGTAAGCAATGTACCGAAAAAGAGCTCTTCAATTGTAAACATTCGAAAACTTCCCATTGTCTTAGGATTAAGTTACACATGCAATAGGCAACCATAATAATTCACTTGAAGGAGAATATGGCTATAGCTGTTGACATTTGTGAAGATAAAACAAGCAGATAGATGCATTACTTGTGTGTATTGTGTATCTTCTTCAGAACTTGAGCCATCTCTTCTCTTTTTCCTTGGTGAAAACTTGGATGGAAGCAGAAGAATGAGCAGCTTCAGCATCCGCCAGAGCTTTCCGAGTCTCATTCAGTTTCCTCATACCAGCCTCATAAACCACTGTCTCCCTCCTGTTCCTATTCACCATCTTCTCCAGTCTCTCCACACGCATCTTCAGCACATGTATCTCATCCTCGTATGCAAGCAGGCCCTGCCTCCCCTCTCCTCTCTTCTCATCTCCTTTATGATCCATCTGGTGCTTTTTCAAACTCTCAGTATGAACAGCAAGCTGAGAATTGATGAGGGAAAACATGTCAAACTTTGATCCTTCCTCTCTCAAGGCTCTTGCTGCTTCTGCGAATCTCTTCTCACGTTTCCTCTTCCCACCCCTGCTCCGTTTCTTCCCCTCCTTTTGTTCCGTTCGGATACCTGAACATATTAGAGAAGGCATACAGTGAAGAAACCATCAATGACAGTTGGAAAATCATCTAAACCTTAATCCATTTATTTCACATATTTGTTGATATTCATTTTATTATATAAATACAAAAAAGAAATTATAAAAACATCTCTTAGCACATCTCAGCCCCCTTTCCATAGCACTTTCCGGGATCCAGACATACCAATAGCTTTTTCCACTCCATTCCTCAGAGCTTCAAAGGAGTGGAGGGGGGGTTGTTTGGAAGGTAGAACTTTGAGGGAAATGGGGTCCAACATTCCCTGTCCAGCGACTCCCAGGCCCATTCCTTCGTGGTAGCCCATGTTCGCCATCATCTTAGAAGCCACGCCACGAGTGTGATTTTCCCACCTGGCAAAAAGTGCAGTTTCTGTCTGGACCCCACTTTGCATGGTCGTACTTTGTAGAAACCCAAGCTCTTGTAGAGGAACAGCAGAATCCTCATCATCCAAGTCACTACAAGTACAATCAGAGGAAGTCATTTCTACCTCTGCCTCTTCATCACTCAACTCTGCATGCTCTGAAAGAGAGAGAGATTCTATCCCAAGTTCAGAAGAGCTTCCTGTGTCACGGAACACGACATGACCCAGATTAAGAATGACATCCCAAGATTCTAGTTCAGCTTCTCTCCATAGCCCAGAACTGTTTCCCTCTGCCTGGGCCCAAATACTGGACCCCACCAATGAAGGACCCCATAGTGTAGGGACAAACTTCTTTAGGGAAGTTATTGGGACACCAATACCTGAGTGAGACAAAAACCCTCTATCAGTAAGGTTATACACATATTGGACAACACCATTAACATATAACTATATAAAGGCCAAGTGAATGTAAGGCAATTGAAACTGGTTCAGTGTTCAGTGAATGACAGGCTGGCAGCGTTTTGCGACACAACTTTAAGTATGCCAGACAATGAAATTGTTCCAGAAAAGAAAATACCAAAGCATTCTCTAACATCACACGGAGTAGTAGTTTGCAGCAAGCTCCTATAAAACTCTACTGTAAGTATTATATGATTCACTGCTAGAGTGGTATCACATACGTCAAGTTGTTCTAGAAAGGAAAATACTAAGGATCTGTTTGGAACCATGAAAATGATGGCAAAAGAAAATAAGAGAGAAAAATGGGAGGTATTCTTCTGCCATTCACCACCACTAAAATGGTATCAGCACATGAGAGGTGAGTGGTGAACCTTTAGGAACTACAAAATGTTTCCTCATTCCATGAACAAAAGTCTGCACTAACTATTTTACTCTCCAAAAAAGCAGATTCCCCCCCTGCTTACTTCATGTCCTACCATATTCTCCTTTTCAAAGTTCAAGGAAACACAAGTATTTGCAGTTAATGTATTTTCTTAAACAAAAAAATCAAGATCCACTTGCTAGGATGACTTTAGCATTCCAACATACCATGTGACAAGCGGCAACTACTACCAAACCGACAACGCTGTTGTAAAAAGAACTTGCACATCTGCACTGGGGTGATCTATTGTTAGAACGCAGATATTACTAAACTTTAAGCATAATATATGATCAGCAATAAGAGAAGGTTAGCCAATGTCCGATGCACATAATCTGTAGCTAAATAGCTCTGCATAAAACAAACATTCTCTTTGCCAAACCGGCATAGCTATTATCTGATGACAAAGAAACCCACCCCTCAATAAAGTCATATGATATCGAGTACAAGTAAAAAGGAAAAAATAAAACAATAACTGAATAGTCCAGAGCAAAATATACTATATGTTCATCTAAAACTGTGTACAATAAAAGACGCAGTAAGAACATCATCATACAAGAGCAATGAATATGATTAACAAAAAGAAAGTTAAACTAGGACAACAAAAAATAACACATCAATGCCTAACAGAAACTGCACCCTAAAAGGGAATTTGTAAAAGAGAAGTGTCACTCACAATGTTAAATGAGGCAATAAGAAATATGTTAGAGTAGTCTTGGATGTTGTTGTTGTTGTTGTTGTAGGCAACTACTAAATTCCATACTGTATCGGTTACTTACTTACTTATATCCATATCACAATGGCTAGACAGCCCAAACTCATGGCAATACATGCCAAATATGTGACGAAGTGTCTATTTGACATTAAACCGCAAAAAGAAATGCCTAAAACCTAATATATAATCACGAACTAAAATTATTTTAGATCAAACGCTTTATTTAATTACTTAACTTAGACATCTTCCAGGAATATTTAAGAAAACAAAAAGGCGGAATAGAGACATGAAAAAAGGAAGTTGTACAGACCAGCATGCTTTCAGATGTAGGAGTCAGGAATGAAACTAATGCAGAATGAGAACCCTCTAACTGCAAAATCAGTCCATTATACCATCGTCCATCAGTAAAGCGGAACCTACATTTTGATCCGATAGAATAATTTTGATCCACAATCGGTTCCACTTCATCATATAAATGATTGTGATTGACAGGTAGATATGCTTCAGAATCCTCTGGATCAAGAGGCACAATCTTCTCATTCTCGGAATAACTTTTGGAGCATCGCATAGCAATATCAACTTCTCTAAGTAGCCTTGCCTGTTTCATGTGAAGAAGCCCATTCTCCACTTCTTTGATAGACTGTTTAAGCTCTTCTTGAACCTGATATGGTGCAGGACCAAATCATTAACACACAGTGCACAAAAACCAGAAGAGGCAGTCATGCAATGTTACAGCATGATAACAAATACTCTCCTCCTAAAAATGTTTTTCCCAGTTTCTTTTTTTGTTCGTCCCAAAGAGTTATCGGAAAGATTTGTCTTAAATTCATTCTTCATTTTCTAAACAAATACTACACCCATAATTTCAGTAACATAAAAAACAGTAAAAAGAAATAAAGCAAAAGGGGGAGAAGATTGTAGGACAGAGGGAGAAATAAAATGTCTACACATATGTCATCAGAATGAGTTAAAAAAGGGCGTACTGATGCACAAAAATCACACACAATGGGGTCAGTGACAGGTATAATGGAACACGCAATTCCCTTTACAAGTTTCCCAGGGCCACTCTTTCATCAGAACGAATTTTAGGGAGTATGTTTCTTATAAAAAAAAAGCTTTAATGGTAAATTTATGAGTTTGAAACCATATAAAAATTTAAGAAAAAGAACAACTAAGATTTAAATGAATCTGACCTTCTGCACTACAACTTAAGCAGAACGAACACCTATGTTCGATAAAATTAGGCTTCATACCAAATTCTAATCCAATCAGTCTATGTTAAGATTTCATCTTTCGCATAGCTATTTAGTTTAGGCTTGGTTGCTTCACCTAACAAGAGTTGAAGACCATACAATTTGATTTCACAATTAGTATCACGACTCAAAATGCTATATAGTCTCTAGATCCCTGTGTTGGCCCCAAAATTAGTATAATTAGCAATCCTTGTGTTGGCCCCAAAATTAGTGTAATTTGCAAATACAAACAAGTAAAGACAAGAACTGAGTCAATGGGTTTCATGTAATTGAGAGGAATTGGGGAACATATATAAAAGGGGTATCCGCTATCAACAAATGTAACCCTAATTGGATTGGCAGCTCAAAGGAGGCGGACCAATATGAGTTCGAGATTGGAGGGATCGGAAGAAAGAGCTTCGGTCAGGTCGCCAAGGGAGTCTTTATGTTCTCGAAGCTGAAGCTCCAACTGTTCCTCAAGAGTTCTCTCTTCGGCCATGGATGCCTCCTTTTCATTTGAGATAAAATAAATGATGATGATTATTTACGGGTAAAATAGTTGCAATACATTGTTTGTGAGAAAGCCTTCTCCACGCCTTTATTTAGAGCTCTCAAACGGGCCAACCCGGCCCGACCCGGCCCGACCCGTGGCGGGGTATGAGTTTCACGGGTCGGGGCGGGCCAACCCGCTTACTATTGGGTCATAATTTTTATGATCCTAACCCGACCCACCTAAGTCACGGGTTATGCGAGCCAGCCCGCGGGCCATAAATGTCAAAACAAAAAACCAATTAAATATCTAAATTAAAATCCAAACACAATTGAAATAGCAATTAAATATCTAAATTAAAATCCAAACACAATTAAAAAGGGAAAATTAGTGCTTGAAAATCCTTTGGTTGTATGTTTGAATCGTGTTTAAATAATTAGCAATGAATACATAAAAAATACATTTATTTAGTCGAATTTGGATGTCATGAACAAAATACATTAGTATTAGAAGTGAGGAAAGAACTAAAAGTAAAGAGAGAGTATAATAGAAGATATAAATAGACAGATACATATAAAAGTTAGTAATATACGGTTCGCGAATAATACAATAATACGTACATTCGTGTATAATACGATACAATTTTATAAAATACGGCTTAATATATGTTTCATACGTTCGTGAAATATATAAGAATACGGACGTGTTTTAAATGTTTCACAATTTAAAAATACGGCATATAATATGTGTCTTATATACTAATTTAATAATAGAAATAAAGAGTTATTTAGCATTTGCACCACATTCTTCAATAATTTAAAATGTACGGAATAGTTTTTTCATATAAACGGATTTGAACACATAAGTACAATAAGTAATAAAAATGACGTTGCCTATTTGAGTAGAAGTACAGAGATATCATTATAGAATAGTTGATATTACTGTGACCGTAAGTTTGGTGAGCCGCCACAACATTTTTCGATCTCTTTGGAGTCTTGGTATGAGTGGAGAACAAAAGTAATTCAGTAGTAGTGCAATAGTAATATCGAAACGGATTACGAATTTAAGAAGCTAATTAACCTAATTTATTAAATGTAATGCCTATTAAACAATTAACAAACATATAAGGCATACATTTTTTAAGCAATATAAAAAATATTGAGCAGCTAAACATTTCATTTTAGTTGTATCACTACATTAGGCTTCCGTTTAATGGTGTGTGTTTTTGAATAAAATATGTATCTATACATACAGTACATGTATTATACATTTTATACTTAAAGTACGTGAGGTTTTCAGAATTTTCTGAAAAATTCATAAAAGGGAGTATTATACGGGAATAAAATATGTATCAATGCGTACGGTACGTGTATTATACATTTTATCGTTAAAGTACGCGAATTTTTCCGATTTTTTTGAAAAATTCATAAACGGGAGTATTATACGTGAATTATACGTTTGAGTGTATTATACGCGAATTATACGCGAATAAACTAACAGAATTTTTATACTCCTATTTTCTCTACATTTTTCACACCATCTTCATACAATCCTACTCTCTAATTTTCTATTTTCTCATACTCAATCATCTCCATTTTCATCTTCTCCAAATCTCTCTACATAAATACTTATATATATATATATATATATATATATATATATATATATATAGGGAATAGATCTGATGAGAAGCCTTTTAAGGCTGAAAAGTGAGAAGTCATCTTGATCGTTAGATTGAAAGTAATCTACGGTTGTAATCTAAAATTAAAACAAAATAGACAATAGCTATGTAAAATTTAGAAGCCTCAAATTTGTTTCTTCAACCGCTCAAACACCGATACAGAGCAACTCTAGAAGAACTTTCAATCTCTCTTGCAATCAGCTCGAAGAACTTGAATGGGAGTTTGACGAACCTGAATCAATCGGCCTCTGCCGAAGTTGTGTCAGGTTTCTCTGAACTTCGACGAACTTGAATCGACCACACTCTGCCGAAATAGTGTCAGACTTCTCTACGAACTTGAATTGATCAGACTCCGGCGAAGTATTGTTAGAATTCTCGCGAGCTTCAATCGATTCGACTTCGTCGAAGTTTTCTCAGATTTCTACGAACTGAAATCAGACATCGGCGAAGTTGTGTCAGACTTCTCCAAACTCGTGCTTGTATCTTCAAAGGTAATTTTACGATAAACTTCGACTCTACTCATAAACTTCTTTCATTGAATTTCTAATTGCAGATTTAGGTTAGCATATAGATTTTCATGTATTCCAAGAAGCCAATTTAGGTTAACTTTTAGATTTTCATCCAGATTTGTTGAAGCCAATTTATAGTAAATTTGGGGAAAACTCATTCGATTTTAATGTGATATTTATGAGTACATGTATTTGAATAATTTATTGATTTTACAATTAGAACTTATTGTTTGAGCAATATAGTTTGTTTAATTAATTTGTTAAGGTTCTCATATGGGGCGAATGAAGCTTCCAAGGAAAAAACTAATAAAAAGTTGGGGTTCACTGAGGCAAATATTGTTGTTGAAGAAGGTAATTTAAATTTTTATTTCTCTAAATTTGATTAGTAAATTTTATCGGTATAAGGAATCATTTTTTAACATTTATTTATTATAAATCAATTATGTAGGACATGCAAATTGGGGTCGCAAAAGTTTGGTAGAACAAGACTAATCAAAAGTTTGGTAGAACAAGACTAATCAGAGAACAGGATGTATAGAATGAATAATGCTATTTAAAAGTTACAATTTAAATATTAAAAGTTGAAGTTATTTATATAAAAGTTTAATATTTCTGTTTGTCTTTTTATAGACACGCTGAACAATGAACGTGGCAATGAGGAAGCTACAAGAATGAATAAGGTATCTTACTTCACTTAATAATAGTGAGATGTATTGAATGAATACTTCTAATTAAAAGTTAAAATTATACTATTAAAAGTTGAAGTTATTTATATAAAAGTTTGAATATTTTTGTTTGGGATTTTTATGAGCAGAACAATGCAGAGGGATTGAATATTTATGGCATCACATCAATAGTTTGGATTAAATCACATGAAATTCTAACTTATAATTGTGATTCTGATTGTTTTTGTTATTTATTTGTTATTTATGAGAAGCTAGTATATTTGTATCTTGATTACTTTGAACTAAGAGTACATTCTGATTGTTCGGAACTATATACTATGGTTTTAAATGACCACAATCTCATTATTTATCTTTCAAAGTACATCACAAAATAAAACTTATTCATTTATTTTTAGAAGTCAAACTCAGGTCATTAGAAATTATGAGGAGAGAAACATATCTTTAGTCTTTGAGAAAAACTCAGATGGCATTCCTTTATACATGATATTAGCAAAACCAAAATAGAATTTGTAGTCTTATGTGTTTTGATTTAGTTTTAGTTGTGTAAAAGTTATCAATTTTCCTTTTATAAGTTATAAATATTACTATATAAGTATATAGTATACATATTTACAAACTTATTAAATCTGCACATAATACAAAGTATTAAATATATGCACTAATAATACTAAAAATAAAAGTGGCTGACCATTTCATTTTTTTTTGTTAAACTAGTCGCTTATTGATTTTGAGCTCTACATTATATATGAGTTAGAAGTTGTGGATTTCTTGTTAAAAGTTATGGTTCTAACTTTATTAGTATGTTGCTAAACGACTATTTTTAACTTGGCAGATGAGGACAAGTATGAGTCTATGAGCAAGCGAATGAAATATTCTTTTCTTAACTTTTTTAAAATCTCATGAAATTGGGCATGAGAGGTATGCAAATCATAGATAACATAGCACGTTGAATTCATTTTTGAAGTTTTATCATGTCATTTTTTCAATTTAAAGTGTATATTTGTGACTGAAAGTTACTAGTTATTGTATAACTTTGTTGTACGTTTTTATGATAGAACTTGTGATAATTGCTACTTGAAGCCTGTTTTATCTTTAAATAAATTCTCTTGTTGATTTTGATCTTTTAAGTTAATGTGAATTAAAAGTCATGCATTTAGTTTTATAAGTAATGATTAAAGCTCTATTAGTGGTAGCAAGGCTAGTTACTAGAGGCTAGAGATTTGGTGAAGCAGTCCCATTTGTTGAAGATGGTAGATTGGATGGTGTCTTGTGTTGGGTCTGATGGGCTTAAAGTTGGCATGAAGGGGCGTCTGGAAAGCACGTATTTGTGCCCGTGTTACTATTGGACAGGCTCCTTTTGTCTATCTGCTGCAAGGATTTCTGCAATCAAGACCGGAGGCTTTGTTTTGTGCCAAGTTTAAGTTCCCCTGTCACTATATAGCTTAGTACCAAAAGAGTTCTTTGATAGTGTATAAATACTTGATAGAACTAAGTGCACACAACAAGCTTTTAAAAAAGTTAAGAAAAGAAGTATGTGGATGCAACATAAGAGAAGAGAAAAAAAACAAGCACATACTATGCAAAAAAGAAAAAGAAGGAAACAACAAGGAAAAAAATTAGCAGTTGCAACAGTATATAGGCTATGCAGGACTCGAACCTGCATCTTTGTGCATATTTGCACATTGCTCTACCATTTGAGCTAATAACCTTGATAATATATTACACTAGACACCAAAAAGAGCATTTAACATCACGAAAGAAAAAAAAAGAATAAAAAATGTAATCAAGAACTAACAATAATAAAATCAAAGTACATTGGAATTACAACTAACATGTCACTTGCAAGGAATTATTCAAGACATATCAGTCTGACAGAACACGGACTCAAAAGTGGCATACTGACATCTGTTTGATGAACCATCTGAACACATGTATTTGCAAGGAATTATTCAAACTTATCAATAAAAACAACTTCAAACTTATTATTATACAACTACTTTGATTGCAAGTGCTAGATAAGATCATTGTCTTATTCCAACTTAATGCAAAGTCTAATTGTCTAGGAACTGGATAGAAGCCCCAAAACCGACAGTGGACATGCATAATATGCATAATGCATTACACCCGCTCAGGACATGTTCTACACATGAACCCTATTCTATTTTGTCCAAACATATCAAATGTCTACGTTCTGGTGGACATGCATAATAT